ATCACAAAGAATATTTCAAGATATATCCTGAAGTGCAATGATGTCAGTGATAGGAAAATATCCACATGCCAACAAGGAAGACCTGTTCCAGTTAATATTACTATTATTAAAATTTATGCACCAACCACCAAAGCCAAAGATGAGGAAATTGAAGACTGTTACCAACTTCTGCAGTCTGAAATTGACCAAACATGGAATCAAGATGAATTGATTATTACTGGTGATTGTAATGTGAAAGTTGGAAACAAAGAAGAATCTCCAGTAGTTGGAAAATATGGCCTTGGAGATAAAAATGATGCTGGAGATTATATGATAGAACTTTTCAAGATCAAAGACTTATTCACTGCAAATACCTTTTGTCAACAACAGAAATGACAGCTACGCACATGAACCTCACCAGATGGAATACATAGGAATCAGATTGACTACATCTGTGGAGGGAGGCAATAGCAAAGCTCAATATCTTCAGCCAAAACAAGGTCAGGAGCTGACTGTGAAACAGATCATTAATTGCTCAAATGCAAGTTCAAGCTGAAGCTGAAGACAATTGCAACAAGTCCAGGAGAGCCAAAATATGACCTTGATTACATCCCACCTAAATTTAAAGACCACCTGAAGAATAGATTTGATGCACTGAACACCAATGACCATTGAAACCAGATGATTTGTGGGATGAAATGAAGAATATCATACATGAAGAAAGCAAAAGGTCAACAAAAAGGAAAGGAAGAAAAGACCAAAATGGACGTCAGAAGGAACTCTGAAATTTGTGCTTGAATGGAGAGTAGGTAAAGCAAATGGAAGAAATGACAAGATAAAAAAGTTGAACAGAAGATTTCAAAGAGCAGCTCAAGAAAACAAAGTTGATGATTATAATAAAATGTGCAAAGGTCTGGAGTTAGAAAACCGAAAGGGAAGAACATGCTTGGCATTTCTCAAGCTAAAAGAACTGAAGAAAAAATTCAAGCCTTGAGTTGCAATATTGAAAGATTCTATGGGCCAAATATTGAATGATGAAGGGAACATCAAAAGAAGATGGAAGGAATGCACAGAGTCACTGTACCAAAAAGAATCGGTTGATGTTCATCCATTTCAGGAGGTGGCTTATGATCAAGAATCAATACCATTGAAGAAAGAAGTCGAAACTGTACTGAAGGCACTGGCAAAGAACAAGACTCCAGGAATTGACAGAATACCTATTGAGATGTTTCAACAAACGGATGCTGTGCTGAAAGCACTCACTTGGCTATGCCGAGAGATTTAGAAGACAGCTACCTGGCCAACTGACTAGACGAGATCCATATTTGTACCCATTCCAAAGAAAGGTGATTCCACAGAATGTGGAGCTCTCGTGGCATAGTGCCTAAAGACATTTGACTGCTAACCAGAAGCTAGCAGTGCAAACCCACCAGCCACTCCTCAGAAGGAAGAGTGGGCAATCTACTTCTATAAGAGATATCACCTCAGAAACTCAAGGAGGGGTTACTGTGAGTCAGGATTGACTCGACAGCAGTGAGGTTTTTTTTTGTTTTTGTTTTTGTTTATCATTAATATCATATGCAAGTAAAATCTTGCTGAAGATAATTCAAAAATGGTTGCAGCAGTATATTCACAAGGAACTTCCAGAAACGCAAGCTGGATTCAGAAGAGAACATGGAATGAAGGATATCACTGCTGATGTCAGATGGATTTTGGCTGAAAGCAAAATGTACCAGAAAGATGTTTACTTGTGTTTTACTGACTATGCAAAAGCATTGGACTATGTGGATGACAACAAATTATGGATAACACTGAGAAGAATGGGAATTCTGGAACACTTAATTGTGCTCATGAGGAACCTGTACATAGACCAGGAGGCTGTTGTTTGAACAGAACAAGGGGATAATGCATGGTTTAAAATCAGGGAGGGTGTGTGTCAGGGTTGTATGTTTTCACCATACTTATTCAATCTGTATGTTGAGCAAATAATCTAAGAAGATGGACTATATGAAGAACAGAGCATAAGATGCGAGGAAGGTGAGAGGAAGGTGGGAGGAAGACTCACTAACCACCTGTGATATGCAGACAATGCAAGCTTGCTTGCCGAAAGTGAAGATTACTTGAAGTATTTACTGATAAAGATTAAAGACTTGCAGTGCACTGAACTATTGATATGGTTTCTCTAGCTATAGTCTTTGTACCTCCCATTGGATTACTGGGTGGGACCATGCAAATAAGGTGTGTAGAACTCATGTTGGGATTGGTTAGTTTTGTCACTCTGCCAGGCTTAAAATGAGCCCTCCTAGAGGCAGAAAGGGGATTCCACTGCCATCAAGAAAGAAGAGCTGGAGGTAAGGTAGAGTGCATCCTTGGACCTGAGATCTCTGCCCTGGACCTCCTTGACTGAGATATGCCCTGGCAGCAAGACGCCTCGGCAGAGAGACAATAGCAGTGGAACCAAGAAGCATGAGACAGAGCAGAGGCTTACCTGGCTCACAGTGGCAGAAGCCAGGCCAAGAGGCCAAGGGCCAGAGAGGTGTATCTGAGGGCACAGCATAGAGGAGACTGTCTTGATCGAAAAATTGAATCCTGAGCATATTCTTGAACCTGAATTGTAGCCTGTTACTTCCCTAATTTTGAGTACTATCTGTGAGTTCCGTGTGGCCATTGCAACAAATTATTGAACCAAGCAGAGAAGTAGTGAGTACCGTGCAAGGTACCATGGGTGTCAAAGTTGGTAAAAAAGGCTGGAGGGTGTGTCTGGCCTCGTACTTTGGGCTTCTGATGGTGATGCTGCCTTCCTTTTGTGAACCTAGAGGGCAGAAGATGCCACCTCCATGTTCTTTTTGCAAGACTACAGTCTGCAGTATGGATTATACCGCAAAATAAAGAAAATGAAAATCCTCACAACTGGACCAATAAGCAGCATTATGATAAACGGAGAAAAGATTGAAGTTGTCTAAGATTTCATATTACTTGTTTCCACAACGAACACCAATGGAAGCAGTCGTCAAGAAATCAGACAACGTATTGCACTGAGCAAATATGCTGCAAAACACCTCTTTGGAGTGCTAAAGAACAAAGATGTCTCTTTGAAGACTAGGGTGCACCTAACGCCAAGCCATGGTATTTTCAATTGCCTCATATGCATGTGAAAGCTGGACAATGAATAAGGAAGATTGAAGAAGAGCTGATTATTTTGAGTTATGGTGTTGGTAAAGAATAGTGAAAGTAGCATGGACTGCCAGAAGAATGAACAAATCTGTCCTGGAAGAAGTGTAGCTGGAAAGTGAGAATGTCCAGAGTTCATCTCACCTACTTTTGTCATGTTGTACGAAAGGACCATTTCCTGGAGTAGGATATCATGCTTGGTAAAGTGGAGGGTCAACGAAAAAGGGGAAGGCCCTCAACAAGATGGATTGACACAATGGGTAGCTACAACAATGGGTTCAGGTATAGTAGGGATTGTGAGGCTGGCACAGGACTGGGCAGTGTTTCATTCTGTTGTACATAGGGTCACCATTAGTCAGATTCAACTTGACGGCACCTAACAACAAAAGCTTTTTCATTCGGTTTATATGATTAATTAAACATACTAATTTCCAATATTTTTTTTTTCTGCCAAGAATACTATAACTCCCAGGTACTCTGATTTCTGAGTAAGTCTGAGAGCCTTCCCTAGGTCCCTGGTCTGAAGGTAGTTCTGAGAGTCTCAGGGGTGAACCAGAGCTTCTCAGTGGAACTAAAGCCGATGTGGATTTTCTGCTTTTGTTCACAACTCCAAACCCTATGGCCAAAACTGAGTAGTAGTTTAGTACATATTTCAGTAATCTCTGCTCTAAACATCCCATCTTGGCCCATGTTCTAAGAAATGACCATGGATACAAATAAATCTTCCGTAGAAACTACTCCTATCTTATGACTTTTGGAAGTTTCTTGTCAAGATTTATGAAGATCAAATCTTTCTCTTCAAGTTCTCACTACTTCCCCTGCCATCTCCCTGGCCCAACCCACCACCAGCTCTTGTCTGAGGTACTATGATGGCTTCCTAACCCATCTCCTCCCATCTACACTTGTTCCCTCACTCTATCTCAGCAGAGCAGCTGAAGTTGTACAGTTAAAAAGTAAGCTGGATTATGTCACTCTTCTCCTCAAAACCCTCCATGACTCCCTTTCACTTAGATTAAAAGCCAAATCTAAAAGCCTGCAGGGCATCCACATTCTGCCTTCACTGACTCCCTATTGCTCCCCTTGCACTCTCCCCACTCCAGCTGCACCTACCTCTCTGCACTGCTTTCAAGACAAGGCAACTTGGAACCTCTCTGGCTGTTCCCTCTGTTTAGGAACATCCACTCCCTGACAGCTACTTGGCTCATTTTCTTCCCTCCATCAGGTCCTTTCCTGGCCATCCTGTCTATTTCCACCCCAGCATTTCTTACCCTATTCTTTCCCCTTGGCCCTTGTGATGGATTGAATCATGCCTCCTCAAAGTATGTGTTGGAATCCCAACCCCTATACCTGTGATGTAACCTATATGGGGATAGGGTTTTCTTTGTTATGTTAATTTGGCCCTATGAGGGTAGGGTGTGCCCTAAACCTAATCCCTTCTGAATTATAAAAAGCAGATTAGACACAAAAGGAAGCACATATGGGGAAGACAGATTCTACTTAATGAAGAAGGATGAATTTGTAATCCAGGAACACCAAAGATTGCTGGCTACTAGGAGCTGAACTAGATAAGAGAGGACCTCCCCCAAGAGTCACATCCTGAATTCAGACTTCTAGACTTCTGAACTGTGAGAAAATACATTTCTTATTTCAGTGACAGCAACTAGGACACTAAGACAGCCCTTATCTCCATCTCACAGGCTATGTATTTTACTTATTTTGTTTTTGTGCCTCTCCCAGTAGAATGAAAGTTCCACCAGGGAAGAGATTTTGTTGTTGCTGTTCACTGATGCATAAAAGGCTGTGTGATATATATTTATCGAATAAGTGAATGATGACAAAGTTCTACTGACCCATCCCAGGGGCTGCCATGAGAATCCTGGAGACAATGACTTGCGTGATGGCTTGTTTTGCAGCATTTGCCGACTCACCCAAGCGGTTCCCATTTTCATCTGTGACAGGAATGCCAACTTTGAGTTCCCTGCAGAGCAAAATGCATGCAAAGCAGTTCACAAATGTCTTCATGAAAGGCCTTGCAATATTACTATGATGAGAATGACCAAGTTCATCCAAAGACCGCCCTCAAGTGTCATTTTTGGCACTGACAAGTCTATTTTTTAAGACCATGAACATTTTGTGATAGACACAAAAGTAAAATAACACTTGTAAACTTTTTTAGAAGGTGTACTTTTTTCCATAACAATATGATTTAAAGGGTGAATATGCTAACTTAAAGATAAGGCCAATTCCTCTGCACATGTGTAACTGAGCAATTTTCCAAATAAGAAATTACATTAGAAGTAAATCAAGTAGGCTGCCATAGAAGGAGCCACCCCCCAGTACATGGCACGGCTGTATATTTATTAACTATTGTTACTAACACTGCAATCATAACTCCTATTTTTACCCCATTTTTCATTATCCATTCCAAACTGCTTTTGCTTTTCTTTCTTCTTCTTTAACTTTTGCCAGTTCTAAAAAATATTTCCAAAGATATAGATTACTATTGCTTTAAACCCAGAAAGAAAATCCTAGAGAAAGAAATAGAACCTATTTTACAGAATAAGCTTTCTTTGCATAGAGCTTCTTTGTCTAGTCCTATACAAATAAATAAGGAGCTCTGGTGGCATAGTGCCTAAGGCATTTGACTGCTAACCCATAAGGCTGGTTCAAATCCACCAGCCAGTCCACAGAAGGAAGACTGGGCAATCTACTTCCATAAAGCTTTACCACCTCAGAAACCCAAGGGGGGTCACTATGAGTCGGAATCGATTTGATGGCAGTGAGTTTGTTTTTTTTGCTTTTATACAAATAAATGGAAGAGTTATAATATATTTAAAAACTTTTTATTACACAGAGGCAGAGAGAAGAGTAAATTATACTCCCGGGTACCTATCACCCTGCTTCAAGTATTAGCAGCTCATGGCTAATTTTGCCTCATCTATGGGTCCATTAGGAGCTCTGGTAGCATAGTGCCTAAGGCACTTGACTGCTCACCAGAAGGCTGGCAGTTCAAACCCACCAGCCACTCCTCGGAAGGAAGGTTGGGCAATCCTACTTCCGTAGTGATACTGCCTCGGAAACCCAAGGAGGGGTCGCTATGAGTCGGGGCCGACTCGACAGCAAACAACAACAACAACAACATGGGTCCATTGACACAGTGGCTACAATGATGGGCTCAGGTATAGCAAGGATCGCGGGGCTGGCACAGGACCAGGCAGTGTTTTGTTCTGCTGTACAGAGGGTTGCTATGAGTTGGAGAAAACTCGATGGCACCTAACAACAACGTGAGTCCATCTCCCTCTTTGCCTCTCAAAGAACACAAGACATCAAACCTGTTGTTGTTGAGTTGATTCCAACTTATGGCAACTCCAGGTGTTACACAGTAGAACTGTGCTCCATGGGGTTTTCTTGGCTGTGATCTTTACAGAGCAGATCCCTAGGTCTTTCTTCTGTGGTGCCACCAGGTGGGTTCAAAGAGCCAACCTTTGAATTAGTAGCCACGCATAAACCAATTTGTACCATCCAGGGACTTTTCCTCACCCCCATCTTCATATCATTTTGAAGCAAATCCTAGATTTCATATAATAAGTAAACATTAAAATAAAATTTTAAAATGCTTTAGACAAAATTAAGCATTATACTTATCATTCTTATAATAATTAGGTTTGTCAAAAGCATTTTAAAATTTTATTTTAATGTTTAGACATTATATGAAATTATTATAAGACTCTACCGCCAAGCACAAGTCCTTTCTCAGAGTGTATATTAATCTTACCTTTGCCTCATTAATGGAATATTAATGCAATTAGCAGCAGCTACAGCAGCAAAGGGGACAAAACGCCCTATCAGGGGTGAGACATGCTGCAGAAAAGATAATTATAAAACATTATCTTACTTTTCCTGTATTGTGAATGGAAACATTTATTTTTTCATGAAAACTGTTAAGATTTCAGAGTGTTATTCGTATAGCCACCATTTGTCTGACAGGTTGTTGTACTGTGGTGGCTTGTGTGTTGCTATGATGCTGGAAGATAGGCCACTGGCATTTCAAATACAAGCAAGGTTAACCATGGTGGACAGGTTTAAGGGGAGCTTCCAGACTGACAGACTGGGAAGAAAGCCCTGATGATCTACCTCCAAAAATACCAGCCAATAAAAACCTTGTGCATCACAACAGATGCACTGGAGGAGGACATCATGTTTGGTGAAGCAGAGGTTCAGCAAGAACAAGGGAGACTCTTGGTAAGATGGACTGGAACAATAACCACAATGATGGACTTGAACATGCTCGTGACTGTGCGGATGATGACTGAGCAATACTTTGTTCTGTTGTACATGGGACTCCCATGAGTCGGAGCTGACTTCATGGCAACTATCAATCTCTACCTCTATTTAGAGATTGATTACTTTCAAAACTTGTGTCTGAAGGCTATTTTTATATAATATATAATAATTTATACATAATGCAGACTAATAAGAAATTTTTAAAGCTTAGTGTGAGTGACTAAAGGAATATGGGCTTTGGGGTCTCATAATCTTGAGCTTGGATGCTGGCTCTTCCTTTTCTTCAAAAGAGTGACCTGAGACTACACAGTGTTGGATGGACTCTTAGGGTGGGTGAGCTTTTAGCATTTAATACACAGTGTCAGACAGACCAGGGTCTTGGTCAATGTTTTTTGGTGACAACCCTTCCCAAGCTTGGTAGAAGATATAATTAAAAACATGCAGCTGAAAACATTAACTATAATAACCAGTTGCCACTGAGTCAGTTCCAACTCATGGAGACCTCATATGTGTCAGAGTAGCACTGTGCTCCATAGAGTTTTTCATGGCTGATTTTTTGGAAGTAGATCACCATGTCTTTCTTCTGAGAAGCTTCTGGGTAGACTCAAAACTCCAACCTTTCAGTTAGCAGTCATGAACTTTACCCATCTGCACCACCCAGGGACTCTAGTAACTATAATAAGACAACCATATTATGATATGAACCATGTTTATGAATAATAGAGGAACTTGAGCCAGGCAGGCAAAAAGAAAATAAGAAGCTTTACTAAGGAAATAAAAATCAGAGTACCTTGGTTAGTGCATTGAGTCCTAGAGCTGTTGCTACAGCACCAGTTGTTGCAGAAACATAGGCTGTTCCCAATTCACTGAAAAGAAAAAGAATACTGCATATATAACACAAATATATGAGGAAACTTGAGACACCATTTCTTGAAGACACAAGGGCGCAAATGTAAAGGATCATGATGAAGAATAGTGAGTCCACCAAACCACATGCATTATCACTCCACATGTACTCTAGATAAAAAGCAAGTGGACCCATAAGAAATGTGATTCTTCACATATAAGCTCAATACATTTAATAGAAGCAGGCATATACAGATGATGTGTGCACGGGGTGGAGATGGGAGGGGAGCCATGAGTGTGCAAGAATCTACAAACGCATGAGTACACATTGGGCTAAATGTTTGTAGCACATTTACTTGAATTAAAAAATATATTTTTTTCAAAATATTAATATATACATACTGAAAGTAAAAATGCAACACTGCCAATTTTAAAATTATATCTTGCCACCTAAAAATACTAAAAGTTTCATCTTCAAAACACAGTTAAGCTAATGTTACCTTTCAAGAAAAGTTAAATTCAAAGACTGGAGGAAATGAAGAAGGTATGATAAATAGTGCTGCATGATAGATTTCAATATCCTTAGTTCCATATGATGATAACAGAAGAATATGGAGTATCAAAGGTAATTTTAAGTGAGAAAACAAACAAAAAACATTTTTCTTTCAAGCATCATATAAGTTCTGCTAAAATTTTTGATTAACTAATCTCTTTAGCCTGTCTAAAATTTTTTTGCAGCAGGCAAAATTTTAAAACCATTTACACTTTTTCACGATTCACAATAGCAAAGACACAAACAACCTCAAATGCCCTCAATAGATGAATGGATAAGTAAAATGTGATACATACATATAATGACTCCCAAAAACCAAACCAAACTCACTGCCATTGAGTCGGATCCAACTCACAGCAATCCCTCCTTGGGTTTCCAAGGCGGGATCACTACGGAAATAGATTGCCCAACCTTCCTTCTAAGGAGTGGCTGGTGGGTTTGAACCACCAGCCTTCTGGTTAGCAGTCAAATGCCTTAGGCACTATGCCACCAGAGCTCCTATTCAGTGATAAAGAAAAATAAGTTCCCAAAGCACCTAGGAACACAGATGAACCTGGAGGACATTATGCTAAGTGAAATAAGTCAATTACAAAAATAAAAATAACCCCAAACATTGTATGTTCTCACTTTTGTGAATGACTTTTAGTGGCATAGTGCCTAAGGCATTTGACTGCTAACCAGGAGGCTGGCGGTTCAAACCCACCAGCCACTCCCCAGAAGGAAAGTTGGGCAATCTACTTACGTAGTGATACTGCCTCAACCCAAGGAGGGGTTCGTCAGTCATTAACAAGGATGGAGAGTGAAGGGAATTCACTCTCTAGATAGTGGACAGTTGCTGATGAGAAAGGTAACACCAAATGAGGATGAAGTGTACACAGCTTGATGAGAGTAAATGATGTCACTAAAAAGTACATGAGAAAAAAAGATCTGTTGGTAATTGCTATGGCATACATGATTTTGAAACAACAGCAAACTAAACAATAGCAAAAACACCCCAAAAATACATTATGTGTGGGTATTTATGTATGTATGTAGGCATATATACATATAAAACCAAACCAAGCCCACTGCCATTGAGTCCCTTCTGATTCATAGCAACCTCTTCTGGGTTTTCAAGACTATAAATCTTACAGAAGTAGATCGCCTCATCTTCCTCCCATGGAGCAGCTAATCAGGCTTGACCTGCTGGCCTTCTGGTTAGCAACCAAGTGCCCTACCCACTATGCCACCAGACCTCCTTATATACACATATAGGTATATATGTATAGGTGTATACATATTTATATGTATACACATCTATGTGACTTTATGCACATATATTCATGGATATAATAAAGCACACAGGGACACAGTTACAGATACTTCTTAGACATAACCAAACATTACACAGGATTGGATTTCTGGGTTAGAAGGATTAGGACCATAGTCTTATGGGTCATCTTGGTCAACTAGCATAATTTAGTTTATAAAATTATGTTCTACACCCTAGTTTGGTGAGTAGTGTCTGAGTTTTAAAAGTTTGTGAGCAGCCATCTTTGATACAACTCCTGGTCTTTACTTATTATCCGGAGTAAAGAGAAAGAAGGAAATCAAAGACTGAAAGAAGAAACTAGTTTACAGGATAAATAATTCTACATGAACCACAGCCTCACTTACCCTGAGACTAGAACTAGATGGTGGCTGACTACCACTATTGATTGTCCTAATCAAGGCCAAACTGATGGACCTCGATAAAATGGAGAAAATACGTGGAATAAAAATGCTCAGATTCCTAAAACAAAATAAAAAGTAAATAAGCAGACCTGGACTGATTGAGATTGGAGGACTCCTCAAGACTATTGCCCTGACACACTCTTCAAACCTTGAACTGAAATGAACCTCTAAGGTTACCTTGTAGGTAAATAACAAATCGGCTCAAAAAATAATGACTATCACCTGTGAGTACTATCCTCCTTTAAAAAATCACCTATATGAGACCAAATAGTCAACAATTACTTTAAAACAAAGATGAAAATGTAATGGGGTAGGGAAACTAGGCTAATGGAAACAGCACAACTAGTATGGAAATTATGAGACTGTTCATACATTGTAAAGAATGTGACCAATGTCACTGAACAACTTGTGCAGAAATTATTGAATGGGAATCTAAACAGTTGTGTAAACCTTCACCAAAAACACAATAAAATATTGGTTAAGAAAGAAACTGTTATACTTTCTCTTTGGCTCCATAGATTAGGTATTTCAAAAACAAAAGTAAAAGTTACACTGCCACGGTTTCTCCTTGATTTCTACAAAATCCATACTGTGCTGACCCAGCTACTTTTTTTGCATTGTTGTCAAAATATATATACCACATTTGCCAATTTAACATGTTTTTTTCACACATACAATTTAGTGACATCAATTATTTTAATCATATTGTACTACGATCACTAATATTGGTTGCCAAATTTCCCATCACATAAACAGAAACTCAATGCGTTCTAAACAATAACTCCCCCTTTCTCCTTCCTTCCCACCCCTGATAATCATCAATACATTTTGGTTGACCCAGCCACTTTTGATGTTGGTGGATGTCACATGTGCAGGTTCATGGGGCTATGGCTTATCATTTCCCATAGGCCATGGTTGAGCTACTAGCTGTGTGTTCTGTAGGGGGAATGAGCCTGAAGGAGCAAGAGACAGAGCAACCTACCAGTACTACTTTAACAACATGAGTAATGTCTGAGACAAAGCAAAACAAAAAACAAACCTGATTCTGACTTATGGTAACCTATGTGTGTCAAACAGAACTACGTTCTATAGGGTTTATAGTAGCTGTGATCTTATGGAAGTAGTTCACCAGGATTTTCTTCCATGGCACCAACTGGGTGGCTTCGAAATAGCCACCCTTTTTGTTAGTAGCTAAGCGCAAACCATTTGTACCACCCAGGGACCTAATGTTTGAAAAGGCAGGCTGCAAAAAATTGTCTTAATAGAAAGGGAAGGAAAGAGCACTTCATTTAAAAATACGCTACATAATAGTCTAAACAATTAGTACAAATATGTTTTTGTAAACAGAAGAATGTCATCACTTAATCCAATGAAAGATGGAGAACTGAAGGAGATGGTTGAAATTTGCAGTCTTACTTTACAGTGAGAGGGGCATCTCCACTTCTGTTGGTGTAATTTACAACTGCGTTGAAGGACTGGTTAATCCATTGCCAGAAGAGCACCGCTGGGGTAGTCCTAAAACAGAAAAATCCATCATATCACAGTATCACTTGTTACCTCACTGCCGTACAGAACAGAAACCATGAGTATCAGTTACAAAACAGGAGAAGAGCTAGAGAAGGGAGAATGAACGTGTGAAAGGCTTGCAACTGGGGATATATGTGACTGAGTAGGTTTCTATCCTCTGAACCTCAGTTTCTTCATTCATTAGATGTGGGTACCAACAAGCTCAGAGGGTGACTCTGAGGATGAAGTATGATAAAATTTGTAGAGGGCCCAGCCCAGAGTTAAAACAAACAAATAAATAAATAAATGATGAGTTGACTCCAACTCATAGTTGAACTCATGTGTGCAGAGGAACACTTCATGGGGTTTTGTTGTTGTTGTTGTTATCTGCCGTCGAGTCAGCCCCGACTCATAGCGACCCCTCCTTGGGTTTCCGAGGCAGTATCACTACGGAAGTAGGATTGCCCAACCTTCCTTCCGAGGAGTGGCTGGTGGGTTTGAACCGCCAGCCTTCTGGTTAGCAGTCAAGTGCCTTAGGCACTATGCTACCAGAGCTCCTTCATGGGGTTTTAGTGGCTGTGATCTTTGGGAAGGAAAGTGCCAGGGTTGTTTTTTTTTTTTTAAATTTTTATTGTGATTTGGGTGAAAGTTTAAAGAGCAAATTCATTTTCCCTACAGCAGTTCACAAACAGTTTATTTCATGACATTGATTGCAATCTTCAGAATATAACAACTCTCTTCCCACTTCCTCCCTCTGTCCTTCTTTCCTATGTATTCCTGCCCCCTGAACTATCTCCCTATGGAAATGCTGCTCTTCTGTTCCCTGAGATTGTTCATTCTAAGGAAGGTTATCTATCTGGTGTAAATGTTCACCCTCTATGTCTCTCTATTGTTTGGCTGGAAGCCACGGTAGTGAGTTTAGTTCTAGACCTGAAGGGTAACTAGGGGCCACTGTTTTGGGGGTCTCACCAGGCTCTATCAGATCAGTAAGCCTGGTCTTTTTTTATGCTTTTGAGTTTCGTTCCACATGTTCTCCCAGCCAGGCCTTTCTCTTGATATGCTTATGGGTAGGTTTGAGGAAGATGAGGCAATCTACTTCCATAAAGTTTTACAGCCTTGAAAACCCAATGGGCATTGCTGTGAGTTGGAATTAACTAGATGGTTGGGTTTTTGAACAATAAAAAAACCAGTTGCCATCGAGTTGATTCTGACTCATGGTGACCCTATGTGTGTCAGAATCGAACCGTGCTCCATCGGGTTTTCGATGGTTGGTTTTTCAGAAGTAGGATGCCAAACTTTTCCTTCAAAGCACTTCTGGGTAGACTTGAATCTTCAATTTTTCAGGTAGCAACCAAGCCTGTTAATTATCTGTACCACCCAAGGGCTCTGAAGGACAAAGAGCTTGCTCAGGGAAAAAGTAAAGCAGATCACTGGGGTCACAACTTTTATACAAAATGGAACTAAAAATGAAATGACATTTTATTTCAATAAAGTTGTTTATGTACATAAAAAATACACTTTAAGCTTCTGTAATTTAAAAAGGATGTAACTTACCTATAAAATGTCATCATGCAGCCTGTGATGGTCATGTTCATTGGAACTTGAGCTGACATTCTTCCTATCAAAATCATCTTTTCACCAGTGTCAGGATGAAAAGCTGAATCATAGATATATTTTGCTCTCCATAATTCATTTTCTGTAAGACCTGGAGGCACAATTCCTTGTCTAGGAAAAATAATAAGGCAACGGTTCATTTCAAATACAGACAAGTAGCTACTATGTTTTTACAAGCTTACACTTATCTGAAACAAACTGGGCCTGGATGGAGTAGCAGGACACTAACTAGGATATTTAGTCAGTAACTCTGTTGTACGTAGTGTTGCTATGGAATCAGAGCTGACTCGATGGCATCTAACTACAACATAATTGGTAAAATCTTAATAACACAAAAGTCAATAAACTTTCAAAATGAACATTTCAAACCCATTCTGAAATTACATGTAATTCTGAAGACCTTATCTTGCATAACAGAGAAGTATTCAACTTTTAAACAGTCTTTGTTTTAAATTATGTACTTAAAAATGTATTTTGAACTTTGTGAACTCGTAAATATTTTAACCAATTAGACAAAAGTTGTGGCAATCAAGAATATTAATTCCTTTTTAAAACAGTAGTTTGAAAGCTTAGATAAGACTCTTTTTTAAAAAAATAAAAAAACTTTTTATTGTGATTTGGGTGAAAGTTTACAGAGCAAATCAGTTTTTCATTAAACAATTCAAACACGTTTTGTCTCATGTCACTGAAAGTACTCCCCTCAATGTAACAACACTCCGCCCACTTCTTCCCTGTGTTTCTCCTTTCCTTTCCTCCTTCTCCCCTATCCTTTCCTGCGTTCTGAACTTTGTCCTTGGACAAATGCTTCCCTTTTGATAGCAAATGGCTAATTGTTCAAAGGAACGTATACCTCCCTGGTATTATTATTCATGTTACGTTGTTATGTGCCGTAGAGTTGGACCCAGCTCATAGCGACCCCTTCTTGGGTTTCTGAGGTGGTATCACAATGGAAGTAGATTGCCTAACCTTCCTTCCGAATTCACATTATAGACCTGTCTATTGTTTGGCTGAAAGTTGAGCCATGGGGGTGAGTTCAGTTCCAGTCTTGAAGGATGACTAAGAACCATAATCTTGAGGCTTCTACCAGTCTCTATCCAACCAGTGACCCTGGTCTTTTCATGATTTTGAGTTTTGTTCCATATTTTTCCCAATCTATCTAGGACCTTCTACTGTGATCCCTCTCAAAGCTGTTGGCAGTAGTAGCCAGGTCCACCTAGTTCTTGTGGACTCAGGGTCATGGAGGCTGACGTTAGCATGGTCCATTAGTCCTTTGGAGTAATTCTTTCCATGGGACTTTGATTTTCTTCACTTTGCTTTGCTTTAGTCCAGTGAGAGACCAATAGTTGCACCTTAGATGGTTGCTCGCAAACTTCTAAGACCTAGGCCACTATTCACCAAAGTAGGATGCAAAACATTGTCTTTGCAGACTATGTTATGCCAGTTGATCTTGATGTCTCCCAAGATCATAGTCCTGAGTCCCCAGGCCCACCAACTCACTCTCTTAGGGTTTTTGGTTATGGCTAAGAAGTGTTCATAATTTTGCTTCTTACACACTCTACTATATTCACGAATATATTTGCAGCACATGTAAATACATATGTAGAAATATCGTCGGTCAAACCGTGGTGCAGTGAATTACTTAGTATGGCTTTTCTAGCCAGTTGTTGGCTTCTACCAGATTACTGGGTTGCTGTTGTTGTTGTTGTTATGTGCCGTTAAGTCGGACCCGACCCATAGCGACCCCTCCTTGGGTTTCCGAGGCAGTATCACTACGGAAGTAGATTGCCCCATCTTCCTTCCAAGGAGTGGCTGGTGGGTTTGAACCGCCAGCCTTCCGGTTAGCAGTCAAGTGCCTTAGATTACTGGGTGGGACCATGCAAATAAGGTGTGTGGAACTCTAATGTGGGGATTAGTTAGATTTGTCATTCTGCTAGGCTTAAAATGAGCCTTCTTAGAAGCAGAAAGGGGGATCTCACTGCCATAAAGAGAGAAGAGCCAGAGGTAGAGTGCATCCTTGGACCCAAGATCCCTGAGCTGGACCTTCTTGACAGAAAAACAGAGATGACCAGCAGAGAAGACCAGCTGAGAAGACCACAGAGGAACCAAGAGGCCTGAGGCAAAGAAGTGGGCTTTCCAATCCACAGAGCGAGAAAGCTGAGTGCCTTTTGGCAGGAGGCTTGCTAGTGGAGTGGGGTGCACATAGGTGTACCTATGGGCAGAGCTGAAAGAGCTTTATAACACTTGCCGGAGCAGGACAGAGTCTAGGTCAAAAGGCCAAGGGCTAGAGAGGCATGCCTGAGGACACAGCAGAGGGGAGACTGTCCTGATCAAAGAACTGTATCCTGAGTGTTCCTGAATCTGAATTGTAATCTGTTACTTCCCTAACAAACCCTATAATCGTGACTATTGTCTGTGAGTTCTGTGTGGCCACTGCAATGAATGAACAAACGCAGAAGAGAAGAAGTGGGTGATATGGGAGGGACAGTTGATTACAGAGTTGGTAAAAAGGCTGGAGGGTGGCGGCATATTGGGCCTCATAGGAATATGCCTTGGGCTGTTGATAATGACTCTGTTTTCATCTCCTGAGGTTGGAGGAGGTCAGAAGATGCCACCTCCATGTCCTTTTTGCACAAACCTATATATATTCATAAGTATGGTCCCATTCTCCTTCCCACACCTGTTCAGCTTACATGTAGATCAGACTCTTCAGTTTTTGGTGAACACACTTTCAGTCTCTCTTCTAAGTTCTATCTGCCATGACTTTATTCACAGGCATCACACTGTACCTGCTGCTTTACAACCACATTTTAAACTCAATAATGTATTATGAACACATCTCTGTGTCATTATTCTTCTATTTGTGGTTGCTGTTAGGTGCTGTGGAGTCAGCTCCAACTCGTAGCAACTCTATGTACAACAGAATGAAACACTGCCCAGTTCAGCACCAACCTCACAATATTTGCTATACCTGAGCCAATTGTTGCGGCCACTGTGTCATTCCATCTCATTGGGGGCCTTCCCTGTTTTCACTGACCCTCCACTTTACCAAGCATGATACTAACTCCAGGGAATGGTCCCTTCTGACAACATGACCAAAGCAGGTGAGACAAAGTCTGGCCATTCTCACTTCCAAGGAGAATTCTGGCTTCACTTTTTCAGGAGAGATATGTTAGTTCTTCTAGCAGTCCATGGTACTTTCAGTATTCTTTGCCAACACACCACTCAAAAGCATCAACTCTTCTGTTTTCCTTATTAATTGTCCAGCTTTCACATGCATATGAGGTGATTGAAAACACCATGGCTTGCATTAGGCACACCTTAGTCAAAGAGACAACTTTGCTCTTTAGCACTTTAAAGAGGTCTTTTGCAGCAAATTTACCCTGTCTATTAGGTCATCTGATGTCTTGACTGCTGCTTCCATTGGTGTTGACTGTGAAAACCAGTAATATGAAATCTTTGCCAATTTCAATCTTTTCTCCATTTATCATGATGCTGCTGATTGGTCCAGTTGTGAGGATTTTCATTTTCTTTATGTTGAGGGGCAACCCATACTGCAGACTACAGTCTCTAATCTTCATTAGTCAGTGCCTCAAGTCATCTTCATTTTTAGCAAGCAACATTGTATTGCCTACATATCACAGGTTGTTAATGAGTCTTCCTCCAATCCTGATGCCATGTTCTTCATATATCCAGTTTCTTGACTTACTTCCTCAGCATACAGATTGAATAAATATGGTGAAAGAACACAACCCTGACACACTCCCTTCCTGATTTTAAACCATGCAGTATCTCATTGTGTTCAAATGACAGCCAGGAGTCTTTCTATAGGTTCCTCATGAGCAAAATTAAGTGTTGTGGAATTCCCATTCTTCTCAATGTTATCCATAATTTGTTATGATCTGCACAGTCAAATGCTTTTGCATAGTCCATAAAACACAAGTATACATCTTTCTGGTATTCTTTGCCTTCAGCCAAGACCCATCTGACATCAGCAATGATATCCTTCATTCCATGTCCTCTTTTGAATCCAGCTTGCATTTCTGGAAGTTCCCTGTCAATATACTGCTGTAACCACTTTTGAATTATCTTCAGTAAGATTTTACTTGCATATGATATTAATGATATTGTTCAATAATTTTCACATTTTGTGGGATCACCTTTCTTTGGAATGGGTACAAGTATGTATCTCTTCCAGTCAATTGGCCAGACAGCTGTCTTTCAAATTTCTTGGCATACACAAGTAAGTGCCTCCAGCACTGCATCTGTTTGTTGAAACATCTCAAAGAGAATTCCGTCAATTCCTGGAGCTTTGTTTTTCAGCAATCCCTTCAGAGCAGCTTCGACTTATTCCTTCAATACCATTGGTTCTTCTTCTTTTTTTTTTTTTAATTGTGATTTTACCTCTTCCCCGTGTCCATCCCTCCATGGACTCTTGCCCCATGAGCTGTCTCCCTGTGCATAAGCAGCCCTTCTTTCTCCCATGATTGTTCTCTGCAAGGAGAGTATCTACTTGAGGTATCCTTCAATACCACTGGTTCTTGATCATATGCCACCTACTGAAATGGATGAACATCAACCAATTCTTTTTGGTAGTCACTCTGTGCATTCCTTCCATCTTCTCCTTCTCCTCTTTTTCTTTAAATACATTTTATTGAAATATAATTTATGTACAATGAAATACACAAAACCGAAGTGCCATGGGTCAATGTATCTTTTTTGGGGGGCAGTGTTTCTCCCATTCCCTCCCACTTCTGGCAACCAACAAAGAAAGTTTCCCTCTATATATAAACCTTTCCTTGACCCTCTACAACCATGAGCTAATACTATATTTGTCCTTCTGTGATTGACTTATTTCACTCAGCATAACATCCTCCAAGTTCATCCATGTTATGCAGTGTTTTGCAGACTCTACATTATTCTTTAGTGCTGCATAGCATTCCATTGTGTGTATGTACCATAGTTTGCTCATCCACTCTTCCGTTGATGGGCACATAGGTTGTTTCCACATTTTTGCTATTGTAAATAGTGCTGCAATGAAGATGAGTGTGCACATATCTGTTCCTGTCCTGGCTCTCACCTCTCTAGGACAGATACCTAGAATGGGATTGCTG